CTTTCCCCTGACGACGATCCTCTAGCCGTACTGGTGATAATTGACTTTCTCTGCATCAAGTCAAAGCAGTATGACTATTTGTCGAACTTTTATGATATTTTGGAGGTGAGCTTGAAATCAGTCGTTGGAGAGCCTCGATTTTTTTGTTGTGATAAAATTGTTTAGGAATCAAAGCACCTGTCGTTAATGCCGAACTTTTGTTTTTCCCTCGCTCTCGCTCGTTTCTACCAAGACCGTGGCGAAAGTGACATGAACAGTGCGATGGTATGACATGAAAAAGGTGATAAAGATTTTTATTTTGGGTCTTAGCTTCAAGAGGCGCTGCTAAAATTTCCAAACGTCCTAAGGCCATTGTTGGATAAGTGCCAAATCGAAAGCGACGCAAAATCTGCCGCATGTAAATTCTTTTATGGCAGTCACAAGTACTTCACTTTTTCTAAAAGCTTTTTCTGCGTTCATAATTTATCTGCCTTTTATAATAGGGATGGCCAGGGTCTGGAATATTTAACTAGGTTGTACATTTCGCGATCGTTTATTTTCTGGAAAGAAGAAGACGTTCTTCACTGGCTAGAGAGAAACGTGCTTGCCGTGATCGATCGTCTGGAAAGCGACGAGACTGCAAAGGCTTTAGCGAACGAATTTACGACAATGTAAGCAGCTTCTGTTTGTTTTGTGTGAAATTAGTTTTAAACCATGTGAATTGGTGAATGTGGTTCGATTCTAGTATCTGCAGATCTGTGAGGACACAGTTCTTATTATCAGTAGTTGTGAGTGGCTGAATGACTGGTGTAAAGTAAAGTGTAAAGTGACTGTCTAAAGACTGGCGCCAAGTAATTGTAACTATGGCAGTGTTAAACTGATCAAAATTTATTGGTCTGCACGAACAAGCTGTTCGGTGTAGTATGCGATTCGTGTCTCCGTCTAGATCATCGCAAAGGCGACGGCGGGATTCCAGTTTGAATGTTTAAAATCAGTACAACGGCCCTAAAAACAGGAATTTTCATTGATACCCTCTTTATTTTGCCAGTTAATGAGGTGCTGCAGTTCTTGCACTCCGCTTTATGTCTGAATCGCACAGATATATCTTATTCACTTACTAGATAGCATTCAAGCGTATTCAAGAGTTTCAAATGGCATATAATTAGCGAGGTTGTGAAGGGAAATTCTTAACCACCAGCCCTCCTAGTTACTGCAAAAACTAAAAATTTTCCGGTCTTCGTCTTTTTGAGGAATGTCATGAAACACATGGACAAGATAGCTTGTTCCACCTGGCCGACTGTTTGAAAACAGTGTAGTTTTATCATCGCCCGGTTCGTTTATGCAGCGATGCTATAGTTAAAAACATACGACGACCGATGATAAACATTGCAGTGTTAAATTATGACCATCTAATGATATTTAAATAGCATGAAATTATTTTTTACAACGACCGGCCGCATTCCATAAAGGAAGATTGGAGTTGCTCAGTCAGCAGAGCGTCGAATTCAGGACTTAGTCCCGGCTTCGGACTCTGGCTGATAGCATGGAAATTGGTGT